AGGATGGGGTATAGGGTGGAGTGAGTGGGTGGAGTGAGTGTAGGAAGGATGGGGTATAGGGTGAGTGGGTGGGTGGGTTGTGGAGTGAGTGTAGGAAGGATGGGGTATAGGGTTGAGTGAGTGGGTGGGTGGAGTGAGTGTAGGAAGGATGGGGTATAGGGTTGAGTGAGTGGGTGGAGTGAGTGGGTGGGGTTGTGTTGTGTAGTGAATGTGGGAAGACATTAAGGGCCTTAATTGGGTGAGTTGGTGTTGTGGGTGAGTAGGTGGGCTGTGCTGTTAAATTTGCCTAGAAGGGAGGGAAATTAGTGGTGTTCACTTGGGTGGAGAGGAGAGGAGATCAAGGGCGTGTTGAGTGAGATTAATGCTGATGGTGATAACAATATTACGGTGTTTTACATTTTCTATGTGGGTAGGATATGAGTAAGGTAATGATCAATAGTGGGTTTAGTGAATATATTTAGTGGAAAGTGACTCATATTAGTGGGTTACATTTAGCAAATGATATATATTAGTTTCCATAATTATAAAATGGTATGTTGTCATGGTGAATGTATTAAATGTGGGAGTAGATTGTACTAGTTTGTTGTCATGGGTTACCACTGACTGTGAAAATGATCAGAACTAAAGTCAGTCATTAGGTAAGTCAAAATGTGATGTGATTTATTTACTGGTAAATTTGTTTATGAACAGTTTAACATTTGGCTGTGAATAACAATGAATGTATTCGCAGTGATACATGGCATTTAAGTATTACATGACAGTAAAAACTTAACATAAATTAATAATTCATTGCTGTGGGAGAGGCACAATGTTGAAGTGAATCAATGACAAAATAAAGCATGTTTTCATGGAAAAAATCATTAATATTTTAAGTAATAAATCATTTTACATATTAAACAATTCTTGTATCAAGAAAATGTTTTTCTACATTGTTTTCGTTACAGACTTTATTAAAGACTACCAATAACTTATTGAATCATGATTTACATGGATCTTTGGTAAATTTAACGATGGCAGTCAATAAAGGATTGGCAGCCAAAGACGACAATTGCCATGTATGCAGTAAACCACATACTGACCAGGATCAGCAATCTGTGTGTATATTCAGGTAAGTAACAATTAATGACTTTGATTGGTTAAGCTCTGTCACATGACATTCACTTTTGATTGCGATTGGTGCATTTTGGGGATTATGGGTCACCACAGTGAGTCCTGATTAGAAAATTTAGAGGAATTGATAATTTATTCTGTGTATGTTATAAATGGGACCACTTGCTGTTTAACAATAGAGCCTTGGCTATCACAATCTCCTGGATCATGTGACATACATATATTATTTTTTGCAATCTCCTGGATCATGTGACATACATAATTTTTTTTTTTTTTTAAATATTTTTTGTGCCAGGCGACAGTTCCGGACATTGAGTGTCACTGTTGTCTCTCCTGACTTTTTTTGCGTATGTGCAAATTGCAAGTGCTAGTGACAACACATAGTGCATTTTGCCACAGAAGTCATTTCCTGTTTGGGACTACATGACAGGGCTGTGTGGCCATCTCTCTGTCAAATGGCAATTTGTAATGCGCTATCCTGGCGTCAACCAGGCCCGGTCGAACACAAGCACCTGCGGACCTTAACCAAGGTTCCCCCAAAGTCGCATTCGTTAGTGAATGAATCACGGCCAGTGGAATTGGCCTTCCCATTGAGTCTGTGGCACACTCACCCAGGGTTGGGGTCGACCCTTTGATGTTCAGCCTAAGGTAGGATTTGAACTTGGGTCTACCGATCATGAGTCTGATGCGACAACTACTATGGTACCTGTGACTGGTCGACACAAGATTTATTTACATTTTCAGTTGAATTGAAAAAAAATTGCATTAAAAATGCATTCTCTACTAAATACTTGTTCTTTTTTTTTTTAGTTGTGGTCATGCCTATCATACACTGTGTCTTCTGTCAGTTGGAAGTTGTACTATGATTGATGGTCAGCAACACTGGTTTTGTTATCAGTGTAATACTAACAAAAGAAGAGGTGTGAAAGATCGAAAGAAGAGCCTTACCCAGTTGTCTCCAACATCTAAATCTCCCCCTAATATAAACGTGGTACAAAATGGAAAAAAGAAAGTACAGGTGAGATACAACTGTAGAGGGCATGTTTTCTAAAGATATTCTGTATATGTATATTATCTCTTGGTAGAAATGTTCAAAACGATGGCTTCGACACATGTGTTTTTAGCACTTTTGCTTGTCAAAATATCTTGATAATCTTCTCAATTTCTTTTATTGTAGGATACACAATTAGATGCAGCACAAGAAATGGCTTTATCTAAGCTACGACAGGCTACTAGAGGACCATCTAGGGTAAGTAATGTCTTTATCTCAGATAGGACAGTCTACTAGGGGACCTTCTAGGGTAAGTAATGTCTTTATCTCAGTTAAGACAGTCCACTAGAGGAGCTTCTAGGGTAAGTAATGTCTTTATCTCAGATAGGACAGTCTACTAGGGGACCTTCTAGGGTAAGTAATGGTTTTATTTCAGCTAAGACAGGCTACTAGAGGACCTTCTAGGGGAAGTAATGTCTTTATCTCAGATAGGACAGTCTACTAGGGGACCTTCTAGGGTAAGTAATGGTTTTATTTCAGCTATGACAGGCTACTAGAGGACCTTCTAGGGGAAGTAATGTCTTTATCTCAGATAGGACAGTCTACTAGGGGACCTTCTAGGGTAAGTAATGGTTTTATTTCAGCTAAGACAGGCTACTAGAGGACCTTCTAGGGGAAGTAATGTCTTTATCTAAGCTATGACAGGCTACTAGAGGACCATCTAGGGTAAGTAATGGTTTTATCTAAGCTATGACAGGCTACTAGAGGACCATTTAGGGTAAGTAATGGTTTTATTTCAGCTAAGACGGGCTACTAGAGGACCATCTAGGGTAAGTAATGGCTTTATCTCAGGTAAGACAGTCCACTAGAGGACCTTCTAGGATAAGTAATGGTTTTATCTCAGCTAAGACAGCCTACTACAGGACCTGCTGGGGTAAGTAGTGGCTTTATTGGTCCCTGTTTGGACGCAGTCCGAAAACGGGGACTTGTGTTTTGACCTCCGTGTGTTCGTGCATGAGTGTGTGTGTTCGGACCTGTATCTTAGAAATGCCTGGACCAATCACAATCAAATTTCACATATACATCATACATGATATTATACATATGCACATCAATTTGTTTCACGATCTGATTCAAGATGGCCGAATGGCGGCCTTTTTTGTGCTAAAAATCATCAAAATCAAGAATTTTTCGGCTGTTTACAAATGGATTTTGTTCAAAATTGGTATATATGTTAGACATTATAGGACCTTGATGCACATCATTTTGTTTTTTAGATAAGATTTAAAATGGCCAACTGGCGGCCATTTTGTTTTAATAAATGTGGTTCTAGTGCCATATCTCTGACTTGCTTAGACTGATTATGTTCAAATTTTAAATATTCATTATAAATCATGTCATAGATATACAGATATATTGGTTTGACGATCCTATTCAAAATGGCCGAATGGTGGTCATTTTTGTGCTAAAAAATCATCAAATCAAGCATTTATGAATGGAATTTGTTCAAACTTGGTACATACATTAGACATTATGGGTTCCTGATGCACGTCATTTTATTTTTCAGATCGAATTTAAAATGGCCGGCTGGTGGCCATTTTGTATTAATGAATGCAGCTCTAGTGCCATATCTCTGACATGCTTTGACTAATTATGTTCAAATTTTATATATTCATTATACATGTATTCAAAATGGCTGATTTTGTTTTAATTAATGCTGTTCCAGAGTAATATCTCTCAATCATCATAATCATATTCCTGACATGTTTATGTTCCAGCTATATTACTATAAACAAAACTATATATCTTAAATTCAATAACTAACAGGGACTGTGCCATGTATGGCTTGTCTCAGATAGGATAGTCTACTAGAGGACCGTTTAGGGTAAGTAATGGCATTATCTCACCTAAGAAAGTCCACTAGTGGACCTTCCAGGGTAGGTAATGGCATTATCTCAGCTAAGACAGTCCACTAGTGGACATTCCAGGGTAGGTACTGGCAATTATCTCAGGTAAAACAGTCCACTAGAGGACCTTCCAGGGTAAGTAATGGTATTATCTCAGCTAAGACAGTCCACTAATGGACTTTCCAGGGTAGGTAATGGCATTATCTCAGCTAAGACAGTCCACTAGTGGACCTTCCAGGGTAGGTAATGGCATTATCTCAGCTAAGACAGTCAACTAGAGAACTTTCCAGGGTAAGTAATGGCATTATCTCAGGTAAGACAGTCCACTAGAGGACCTTCCAGGGTAAGTAATGGCTTTATCTCAGCTAAGACAGGCTACTAGAGGACCTTCCAGGGTAAGTAATGACTTTATCTCAGCTAAGACAGTCCACTAGTGGACCTTCCAGGGTAGGTAATGGCATTATCTCAGGCAAGACAGTCCACCAGAGGACCTTCTAGGGTAAATAATGGCTTTATCTCAGCTAAGACAGTCGACTAGAGGACCTTCTAGGGTAAGTAATGGTTTTATTTCAGATAGGACAGTCCACTAGAGACCTTCCAGGGTATGTAATGTCTTTACCTCAGGTAAGACAGTCTACTAGAGAACCTTCTAGAGAGGATAATGTCTTTATCTCAGCTAAGACAGTCTACTAGAGAACTTTCCAAGGTAGGTAATGTCTATATCTCAGCTAAGACAGTCTACTAGAGGACAGGCTAGGGTAAGTAATGTCATTCTCTCAGCTAAGACAGTCCACTTGAGGAGCTTCCGGGGTGAGTATTGACTTTATCTCTTCTAGAGAGGGTAATGTCTTTATCTCAGCTAAGACAGTTCACTAGAGAACCTTCTAAGGTAAATAATGGCTTTATCTCAGCTAAGACAGTCTACTACAGGACCTTCTAGGATAAGTAATGGCTTTATCTCAACTAAGACAGTCTACTAGAGGACTTTCTAGGGCAAGTAATGTCTTTTTCTCAGCTAAGACAGTCTACTAGAGGACTTTCCAGGGTAGGTAATGTCTATATTTCAGCTAAGACAGTCTACTAGAGGACAGGCTAGGGTAAGTAATGTCATTCTCTCAGCTAAGACAGTCCACTTGAGGAGCTTCCGGGGTGAGTATTGACTTTATCTCAGCTAAGACAGTCGACTAGAGGACCTTCCAGGGTAAGTAATGACTTTATCTCAGCTTTGATAGTCCATTAGAGAACTTTCTGGGATATACGACTTCATCTCAGATGAGAAAGGATTGTTACAAAATGCTTTGTGCCATTTTTTCTCTCATTTTTACTTCAATGTATATAATAATAGCTTACCAGTTTCACTTGAGGTATAAAGTGATAACCACTTGAACTAATCATTTTATTTTTATGCCAGTTACAAAATATATATAACTATAATTGCCTGCTATAATTATTCTGTTACTCTTCTTTGCAGTTGGCAATCTTGAGTGAGCTGTCGCGAGCTAATCGTAGTCACCCTTCTCGTAAAGGAGTTGTTTCTGCAGATAGTATTTTACACAAAGAAAGTTTCAAGCTCCATTTATCAGCTCCGCCATTAGATACAAGTCTGGAATAAAAGTAGTGTAACTGATGCACTTAATGACCGGAAATATGGCTCTTTTCTTGGCATTATTACTACTCTATTTGTATTTATCGTATATGATTCCTGATTGAACATCTGGTAATGTGTTAGGGCTAGAGAACCAATCATGTACAATCTTGCAAGTCATCTCATAGTAACCAAGTAAATAAGCAAGGTCTTCTCTGATTGGCTTGCTTCCAGTACACACAGTGATGAAGTGCTCTGTGATTGGCTTGCAATGTAGAAAACGGAAATTAAACTTGTCATTTATTGTGATAGAGACCTGCAGCCATGGAGAATTAACAATAAACCTTTAGACAAATGAATTGGCAAAATGCTACACCTAATTGTTGGTAGTATTTTATGTACATGTACCCATGTTCATTGAATTTAAAGATGACATCAATTTTAGAGCTGTGTGAAAAATAAAGATTTAAAGAAACATAATATTAAAAACTGCCCGAAGTATGTGAAGATTGTTTATTTAACTAATAGTGTCATATTTCTAAATGTATTGTTATGGTTACTATATATACAGTAATGTAGGTATATTTTTAGTATTGGCAGTTCAAGTACTAATCAATCTGTTTTTAAATGCTATTTTTTGTAAATATATAAAAAAAAACAGTTGTACCTTGGCTTGGCTTGGATGTATATTGTTTGTTTACAAAACATTGGAATACTTGCTATGTTTTAAAGAAGTATTGATTAAGATAAAATGCAATATAGTAATATGGTATGTGTTTTTTTATGTCCAAGCATCTATTTATTTTACTCATTTTATCTAAAAATTATTGAAATGATTTTTTTCATGACAATTGATAACTTTTGACTTATGTTCATTCTAATAGATAATTAAATATTTATGATAATAAATATTAATTATATGAAGTTTTTTGTTTATTTGTTTTCATTTCTTTAGTATAGTTTAAATCTACTGACTATCCTGTGAGAAATTAAACATTTTTATTATACTTAGAATTGTGGCCAATGATTAATACACTGGTCTGAGGGTGCTCTGTATTTGTTTGCTTTAGGATGTGTGGCATAACTGTAGGGTTGGTTTAAACCATTAATGGTACATGGCTGGTAATGCTTGGTTACTGGTAAATATATTTGGTGATTATTTATTCTTTCCCTCACAAATCTTTACCAATTTTGTTCGAAGCTAGTATATATATATTTGACCAATTAGCATCCATTTATGTCTTCCAAGACACAAAAAAAAACGCTTCTGAACCGATTTTGTTCTATGTTGGTACCTGACTGCTAGAGAGTGTTCTCCATATTCTGCAATTTAACTGCCCTCCTGCCCAGTGTTTTAACTATTTTTAGTGACCCACTTGTCACAGTTTAAACTGTAGGAATTTCCAAATTTAAGTTTACTGTTCTAAATATAGTTAAGGATGAGTGTGAACAGTTTTTAGCAGACTCATTAAAGACATTGTTACAGACACCGCCCATGTGGTTAAAAACAATACAACTGCTGTATCACCAATTTCTCATCTTCGCAGCATGTCTTGTATTTGTCAGGGCATACCATTATCATGTGTATTAGTTTTGAGTTTTAAATGGTCCATCCCTAACTGAATACATGTACATAAATCAAATCAAGTTACGACTTTGGGGAAACCTTGGTTAAGGTCCGCAGGTGCTTGTGTTCGACGAGTCTGGTTGATGTTGATGAAGTCAGGAGAGACGACAGTGTCACTCAATGTCCAGAACTGTCGCCTGGCACAAAAAAAAAGTTTTAAAAAAATAGTTGGAATTGTGTTCTCAGAAAGATGATATTGCCTAGCATATCATCATGACCCCCATTAGTGGGAATTTAGGTACTTCCTAACTCAATCTCCCAGTGCATCACAGATTTGTTGTGCTCAATTCACAATGAATGCTTAAGAAAAGTATCTCGAGTCGCACGATTTTATGCAACACAAATGGTATATGTATCCACGATGGAAACTAGTCTCTCTAAGGCAGACCAAGGCGTACTGAATAGTCACTCTAATATATTATTAAGCATAGCTTGGCATACCCTTTCGTCGTTGCGTGTATGCGATATACAATTAACGGGTCGAAAATGTTGACATCGTTCGGTGTTTTATTTCCTTGAAAGTAGTAAAATTTGTTTGCTATTTAATATTGATCGAAATCACCAGAGGGAAACATAACCACAGGAATCCCATGAACTAATCAACTGTACGCCTAGCCTGTATGAGGGTGTCGGTTGGTATTTAGTGTAGTATAAAAATAGGCAGGGATGAAAGTACTAACGTTCCCAGATTTTTAAACCGGTATAGCTGGAGACGTGTTGTATTTAGAATTTGTCATGCATGGATCACGGCACGGAACAGGAGATTCTTAAAACCGTATACCCCGGCTCAGCATTCATAAATGTGGTCAATCTGTTTAATTTTCTTGATTTATTATAATAATATCTTTGGAATTATGGTAAGGCGTTGGCAAAAATATGAAAGAGCGACTAACTTTCTTCGAAAACAATATTATATTTTATGTGAAACGTGTCAGTTATTTAATTATAAAAGAAAACAAAGAGCGAATTTTATGGTATCTGTCAGTTCTGTTACTGACATTATGTTGTGTTACGTTGTTAATACACGTTATCTATGCCATTTTAGGGAGAGGGTTCCTGGGCCAACTCTCACCTACAGACACGCACAAACCGAGATCCACCACTGACTTGCAAATTTAAGCTACAAGAAAAGGAATAGTGTATACGCCGTCACTAACTTGAAGAAATTAAAACTAATGAACCAAACGAGGAAAGTACTATCACACTTAAACAGATGCATTGGACATATTCTACTATGCATATCCTTAAATCAAATAATATATGACTAAATTACTTTGTATACCTGTGAACTGTTCATTCAGCCACAGTCCCTCTCTGATTCAGCATAAGGGTTGAAAACGGAATAGCTAAATTCAGTTTGTAAAATTTTTCAGGTGAACTTGCCAATATATTTAGGCATTGTATCTGTCCCCTTGTAACACGTTGGTTTGTGAGGGGTGGCACAAATACCATGCAAATACCAATGGGGACAGTCTGCAGCTGGTGGTAACATTTTCGAAAATGCAACTCAATATTCTCCCTTACATAGTCGTACAAGTTAGTTTAGGTTGCCGTGCAAAACCCGACTTTCGCGTTCGCGTTCGCTTTCGCCATTTATACACTCCCATGACATTTTATTTTACTGAAAAAACAAAATAAACAAGGCACTGTATGCAATTCTAACTACTTCGTGGTGCCATCGAGGTGGGACAGTATGCAATATACTGTCACAAAGAACACAATGAAGTCAAAACAGAGAGAGAGACTCCTGTTATATTATTGTAAATGTTGTATAAATATATTAGTTGTCTGTGTATAATTATCGCTACGCGTCTTACCGCCTATCCGATCTTCATTTCACCACCACCGAATAAAAGCTTGCCCATTTATAATAATGTTGTTCACTGGCTTTTGAGTTGTTTCAGCTCAGCTGCAGTCATTCAAAGCCGGCGTTACGTAACGATTGACATTTAGACATTTCGGCTGGGACTGATGACAACCGCACCGAGTCAATTATTTAAACAATCATGATTTAGGGGGTTTGACTGAAGCCCCCCCCCAAAAAAAATAGGCATTATCATTATTATTGACTGACGACCTGGTTGCACAGATGATGGCTTCGCGTTACTTCGCGTTCTATACTCAGAATAGAGCACAGCTCGGCGGGATACCAGTCACGGTACAACAGCCATTTTTCCCGTGTCATCGTTTCTAAATAGACAGTCGTGAGAAATTCAGGTGATATATCGTCTGAGCATGCGTAGTACATTCGAATGACGTGCGTTTTGTAGAAGTGTTTTGAAGGGGAGAGTTCTGGCACTTCACTCGAAACATATGTATACCATTCAAATGTATTCTTGATATATGTTTTATATTACACAGACAGTTATTGAATTGCAGTTGACGTAATTTAAGACGATTCCCTATCTCTGCTGTTTATATTCTAAACCGGACACCCCTACATTGTCACGTAGTATTCATGTAGTATCGCCCGTTTCCTTGGTCATACATTCAGGTGTTCGTAAATTATAATATAGTACATGCATAGTATACGAGGTTTTGGAATAACACCGTGGGTGCCGGGCTATTCGCCATGCAATCCGCCACGTGTGTTGATGAAGACAGGCAAATAAAGGCGATATTCACAGACGGGTTACAGAGTAAATACCCCTATATTTGGTTACTCGATAATTGCCGGTGTACCCAGTGTTATGTGCATTCAGCAAATCAAAGGCTGGTACCGTTCAGCCAGCTGGATTTCCGAGCGGTTCCCGAATCGGTGACGCTGACACCTGATGGAAGCCATCTAAGTATTAAATGGTCTAAAGGACATATCGGCGACTACAGCGTTGACTGGCTACGTACACACCAGTTTGATTCGTCAAAGCCAGACGAGGTGGCTGAACCTCAACTGCATATATGGGGTTCTGAGATGGTCAATACTATACCCACGTACGATTTTGAAGGTATCCTGAATAACGAGGCTGAATTATACAAGTGGCTAGATTCGTTGAATGCATCAGGTCTTGCATTGATTAAGAATGTACCTCAGGAAACAGGACAAATAAAACGTGTTGCAAAACGAGTCTCTTTCCTCAAACCTACAAATTATGGGTAAGCCCGACATTTAGATTTTTTCACAATATATTTGACAATATCGTCCATAAGAATTTCACAATAGCACTATCAGGTGTACGTGCATTTTAGTTCGAGGTATTTGTTCATGCTATTTTTGTTCAATATTCAAAAATCCACAGGTTCTAGAATAACCCAATGAAATAGGAGCAGGTAGTGGTGCGGTGTTTTGTTTTATAGCTGTCCATAGATCCATTTTGTGCATTCCTATGCCAGCGTAGCGTACTTTTCTCATAATTTTTGTAAATGAAATAGAATACCACATTTGTACTATTAAATACGCGAAATGCATTACAACAGTGTAACTTAAAAAGAAAAAGTTAAAGCGCGGTGGTCGTCGCGCAGCGCGTGTTCAAATTTCATGTAAATAAACAATGTATTTTACACGCGTTGTATACGTCGCTATGAGTCCCATATCGAACAGGACGCGGCACGACGGCTGCCGCCCTTTAAATAGTACTGACCTGGTTTGGATTTGAGAAGAGCAGTGGGTAGATATTGAATGGAATGATAATGAAATTTATTTCTCAAACATTACCCAAACTAAAAATGGTAGAATTTGCCATATAATATTTGTACAACATTAAACAGACAGACTCAGAAGGACAGACCGACAGACCGACAGACAAACAGCCTTGTGAGAGTCGGCGATAGTTTACTCCAGGAACGTCGTGGTTACTGTTGAATGAAAAGTGGACGCGTAAGACTGAACTGAATGGTGGACAAACATAAATAATAGTATCCTATATTTTCTAGAGTATGCTTCTCAGTCAAAAGTAAAATGAATCCTAGTAATACAGCCTATACTGCTGCCGGACTTAGTCTGCACACGGATCTGTCAAACTATAATCACGCACCCGGGGTGAGTATGCTTACAGCATACTGCATACACGTGATCCATTTCAGTTGTTGAAGGGCGGCATTCGTCGCGCTGCGCAAGTGCGACCTTTGTGTTGATAAACATTGATTTTCCCACAATCCAATGCGTTCTTCTAAGATAAATCACAAGTATGAAGTTTGACCTGGAAGCGACTTACACTAATTATAGCCGGTGACTCCTTCAATACCTTCCAATCACCTAAAAAATACCTAATTAAAGCTTGGTAACGTCCCAGTTTGTACTCGTTGTTTATACGAGACCCATATATCTCACGCATGCGTGGCGCGACGACTACCGCCTTTTAATATATGGAAAAGCATGATTGTGTTAGGTAGCATTTTATATTAGTGTAATGTTTAATGACATGTTATGGTGTCTATTCACCATATCGTGATGCCCATTCACCATATCGTGATGCCCATTCACCATATCTTGATGTATATCCGCTATATTTTGATTTTCATTCACTGTATTGTGATGTCCTCTCATTGTGTTGTGCTGCACATACACTGTACTGTAATGTTCATTCACTGAGTGTTATGCCCATTCACTTTATTATGATGTCTAATCACGATATTGTGTTGCTCGTTCGCTGCATTGTGATGTCTATTTACTGTATTATGATGTCCAATTAGCATATCATGATGGCCACCCACTGTACTATGATGCCCATTCACTGTATTATGATGTCTATCTACCATATTGTGATGCCCATTAGCTGCTTTGTGATATCTATTCACCATATCGTGATGTATATCCGTTGTATAATAATACATGTATAACAATATGTTTTGCATAGGTACAAATGTTACACTGTATTCAGCAATATGATGGTGAAGGTGGAGACAGTGAGTTCACTGATGGTTTCAAAGCAGCCATTCAACTGAAAAAAGAAAATCCCAAAGCATTCGAGATACTGACAACTACCTGGTTGAATTTCTCCGATATCGGGATAGATTATTATTCGTATCACTTTAATAGACAATCTCCAACTATTTGGTACGTATTAACTCATCACCTGTATATATGGTTCACCACTGACTGATATATCTGGCACACCACTGACTGATATATCTGGTACACCACTGACCGGTATATCTGGCACACCACTGACCGGTATATCTGGTACAACATAACGAACTTATAAGCGATATATTACACTCGATCTTCGGCTACCAGGACATACACTGTAATGGAGCACGTTTTTAGAAAAAACAACAACTTTAACATCCACTTCTACTCAAAAGTAAGGAAATCGCAAATATGCGCATGCGTATTGGGTACATTAAATCTCACGCGTCCGTCACGTGTTTCAATACAACAAGATCCATGCCATATCACTATAAATTACCCAGAATTCACTATGATCTTACCAATGGAAATCGTTTTTCCCCAAACGTTTTACTTGCTTAACATTTTGAACCCTATTAAATTCATAAGAAGTCGGTTGTGTTTTCAAAACTACGTTTTTTTGCTGGTCAGAATATCAAATTCTGGCGAAGGACAAATTGGTTGAGAGTGAAGAGAAAATGATTACTGAATATTGTAACCGAATTGGGAAAATGTAAATACATTTTTTTTGTCAGACATTTGCGAATAAAATATTCACAAAATAACAATTTTCTTCAGCCCGCCCAAGATTTCAAATAAATAACACATAACATAACAAGTTGATTGATCAAGCATTATTCGTTATGTTTTATTTTTCGATTTGCTCTCAATAGCTTGGGACGTAAGGGTAACATAGAAGAAATCGCATATAGCCGAACTTCTCTGTCTAGCATGATGTATATTCCGGTGGAGCAGGTTGAGTCAGTGTATGAAGCATTAAAGGCATTCAGTGATATCATGTACAATAAGGAGAATATCATCAAATTTAAAATGGAATCAGGTAATTACAAGTCAAAACTTTGAAGTGTTTCACATTCGCATGTCATACTTCTGAACTTTTCAATCCTAGTTTTATGTAGACTAGTAATATATTTTTTTTAAATTAAGTACAATAGCCTCATGGTTAACATGTCTTTTACTTAAAGGGTGGTAGTCGTCGTGCCGCGTCCTGTTCGATATGGGACTCGTAGCGATGTATACAACGCGTGTAAAATACATTGTTTATTTACATGAAATTCGAACACGCGCTGCGCGACGACCACCGCGCTTTAATATTCACATTATTTGACAGCTGGTATCCAAAGTGAATTTTCATTATTTTCCCAAATTCGTCACGGACAACCCAATATGCCTTTTGCTTGATTCCTAAAAGTCACACATCTTGGTACATTCTGTGACGTTTTTGCTCATTGGAATATCAATAGTTTCCAATATAACATATCAATTGTGATCAATTCTGAACATTAATGACAAGTGGGGGTATAATTGTGAAATTCACATTCAAAGCGAATTTGTACCACTGAAAGTACGGTGCCATGATGTGTAACCAGTTGGGGACATGTAGAGTTATATGTATAATACAAGACATACAATTCACTAGGAAACAATTACCGTAAACCTGAACGGACATACAAATGAATAGGTATAAAAACCTCCCATATATGAATCGCGCACTTCATTCAAACACAATCAAAGTTCATGGCCGTAGCCTGTAGTATGTTATCGTCACAAAAATCCCTGAACTATGACAAAGTACGACTTATACTCTGGTGTTTTCAATTTTCTGCTCAGCGTTCATGTAAATGAGAACTGCCTTTTGTCAACTATCTAAAAAATGTTCGCTATGTAAACATTCGTGTTTTCGAGAGCCCCCTTCTCTTTATACATACGCGCAGTCTCGACGACAGCGTCGCCTCAGAAAACAATTGTAATAATCATACTTATTGTTTGTATTATGTTATATTTATTCAGGAGACATGGTAGCATTTAACAATATCCGAGTTCTCCATGGTAGGTCAGCATTCAAGGTCGAGCAGCGGAGCAGTCGCCATCTTGAAGGTGGTTACATTGATTGGGATGAAATCCATTCGAGAATGAGAGTCCTGAAAGCAAACTTACAGATATAGACTGGTAGTTGGGGGACATGAATATATTATAGCGTCATTACAGTTCATAGCGATGTTAAGACAAACTAACGCCAGAATTTGAAGTCAAAACAGTGTCATACAACTACTATTCAAGTTCAGTAATTGACCCTGTGCGTACTTAGCCGAATGGCTACTACTCTTATAAAAAAAAAAGTCTCCTCTCCTCGAGATCGTCGTTGCTAGATACAAACCAGCACGCTAGTTCACCATTTCAACATGTAAGTTTGACAATTATGGCTATGACATCACGTGATATTAATTATGTTAAGAAAAGTGTCTATGATTGGTTTAATGATAAGAAGATAATGTGACTTGTTAGTGCAATTTTAGAGGGCGTGGTTTATGTCAGCGAATTGTGTATGCTTTCACTGTGAAATAAATAAAAGTGAGTGTTAGTTGGGCATGGGCTTCGGTCATCGTTCTGCCCGTAGTCTGTATTAGACTGGTCGTGTTGTGTTGTGTGTAGTTATTGATGTGAACGAGCTTTAGATCCGATAAATAAAGTATCCGTGACTTACCTGAGTGATTTTAATTTAATATGCACAGTACCCACAAAACACACATACGGTACAACGTCCATCGGTGAATTATGATATTAAACTATCACATGATCCGAGTTCCGCGTTTAGTAGAGGAACATTTTCAAAAGTTACATAATGATGCATTTACTTGCCTGATCTTGATTCAATGTGTGAGACAGCCTGGTTTCACATCCAAATTCAACGGATATAGTCACTAAATTCCAAGTTCATTCCTCTTTAATGGGGATAATAAGACGTGGGCTGTGATCAGTGTGGAATAGAATATGATTTGTATTATACTATGAATTCGAGACTCACAGTTCAACCAAATATTACAATACATATCAGAAGTATCTTCTTTAACGAGCAATTTACTTTTAACAGTTCATAGGCGTGCACTGTTACGTCATATAATTATTCTAACAGTCAGCATTTACTGGGAAAGTGCACTTTCTTAGTTCCAGACAGTACCAGTTTACTAGTTTCTTTGTTCTCAACAATACCTATTTTCTAGGAGCGTACTTTTTTTTTTCAGAGCTAGGTTACTCTCGTATAATTTAAGTCGAGGTGACAACGTTCCCTTAACTATTAAAAATGGTACATATTTTAGGCAGCAGCTCCCTTAATTCAAACAAACGATTTTCAGATTGATGAGCTGTGTGAATGCATGGTCACACTCTCTACTGATTGACCCACGCAGATGGTTTGTGGTTGAAAACAAACATGTACTTTATTTGGATTTTTGAAGCGAATAAGAGTTCTTCCGTCAACGTTGAACGCGTGGGATTTAGTTAGAATGACGATACAAATGAAGTAATTCGTAAAATATATTCAACCATCACGTAACATTTATGACAAAGTTCTGAATAGGTTCTACTTTGTTTATATAAATGCATACCCATCATAAGATACTCCATGCGCAACGTTTGACTTGGCAACATTACACATGACCGCATCTTCCGTTTAATATATGTGAACAATGTTAGACAAAACTGGGTAACAATGAAATGCACCATGGGGCCAATAATTAAAACACTAGTTTTGTAATGTAGAATGCAGCCTATTCATGAGTAAATCGGATTTACACTACAGAGTTCGAACACTTCAATCACGTGGTGTAATATACTTCGAAGTAAACGAACTAAGATGAGTGTAATGAACAAGATTTTTTGTATGTATGAAACAATTCAATTATTACACACTTTTCACACTCCCCTTCGTAATAGCTGATCCGAGAATTTGATATTTTAGCCGATCATAACCATAACGTCGCTATTAATTGGCCTACTTTGAAATGAATACGTTAATTGTACTCGTCTTGAATTAACTAAGCATCCTTATTTAATCTTCGGCAGCTCCATGTACATTCGACATATTTTCAAGTACTCACTTCATTTAGTACGAATAACTGTAAAATGAGTACAAATATACACAGAATACATACAATATATAATCACAACAAACCCTGACCCTGACTTTATTCCATCAAACAATGGCACTATTGCAAAATACTATTCTGACATTATAGTGTATTCGTATATACACCTAATATCAGGTATTAATAATCGAAAAGATTTTATTAAGTCAAAATACATTAATAACACTCAGAAAGGTGAATAATAATTATAGTAAACATAAATGCAAGTAAATGTATTACTGTAAAACATTTTTAAAGGAAACATCAATCCAAACAACATAATGACCCCTAAAGAAAAAGCCCCACAAATGTAGGAGAATGCAATTTACAGTTTATTTATATCACTTTTCATTCTCTAGATATTCAACTTTATATCAGTATTATGTAGTCAGTCATTTTGATTCTCAAGCAAAAGATTACGGGTACTGTATGACATCATAGAATCTGTTGTCAGAAATTGAGAAAATTATTTCATCTATAACATGAGAAATACTGACGCGAATCAGTAAAAATAGAATATTACAAATACACATAAAGCGAAGATACAGCTAAAACGTTAAAAAAATAAAATTGATATTTTAGTCGTGAAATATAGAATGACATTGTTGTCCTCTTTTTGTGGTCAACGTGTAATATATCACCTATATAACCTATTCACATTGGTTAGTTGTATGCAATATAAGGAAATTTGAGAATTTGGTAGAAAAACATAAAAATAAATATTTTCAGTTCTGTTTCCATGACAACTATTTTATAAACATAGATGGCACCAGTACATGTATGCTACAAATTTCTAAACTTTCAGCCAATTTGAAGTTCAACTTTTGAAGTTATAGATGAAATCATTATGCATGATAATCTTGGTGACAAATCTAGCATCCATAGCTGCAGGTGTGAATGAATTGGGATGCTACAAAATGAATGAGACATAACACGAATTACAATATAATATAAACACGTTTCTAACAATATTTATAATAATTTATTGTTGGAATGTGAATTTAATTCCTGGTCTGTGGTATGTGAGGAAATATGCAACTGTAAAAAATATGGAAATTTCAGACGTACAGTGATTGTATTAGTGATATAGTCTTATGATACTTACGGTATTTAAACTATTTGTTATTCATAAACACTGGATAATGTAGAAATAGTATACCCATCATTATAAATTGTTGAACATAAGTCGTATACTGAAATTTAAAAGTCCAGGAATACAAAACAAATAATTGGCAAGAATCGAAAAAACAGTCCACAAGAACAAAACATTTACATGAATGTAATGCTATATTAATTTAGCTATAGTGCTGCACATTGGTGTGAACAATATAACTGTGACATAAAACAAATAACGAAAGTGAAACTGTTGATTTCGATCAGCGACATATTATGATTATGTTATATCACATTAACGACCCTGTAATGGTAGCTACAGTCACTGCAATTATACTTTCAAATATAAGACTTTACCAATCTCTCAATAAGCACTGTGTTTTTTTTTGTTTTTTTTGCAAATGCATGAGTACCATCGTTTGTTTTGTTTAGATAACACCACAGCGGTAGTTGAAGAAGGCTTTTTCAAGTGAACTCACATGGCCAATTCAGACATGTTCAAATTGACATCAAATCAGGTGTTACCGATATACAATATACAACTGTAGATTTCCATGGCAATACGGCATCATGCAGATTTAGAGTAAATATAGAAGTTACAGACAGCGAAAGTAAGAAATTTGTCGTAGTTATTAGTATCACTGGTCATCATGTGTCCATTTGTATGTCATCGGTACGGATAGCAGGTTGAACTGATGTGTCTATCAGGGGTAAAATCTTTTCCCTCGGGGTTCTCCACACGTGTCAGGGGGAAATTCGTCTCGTCTCTCTATCGCGTCCCCTGGAGGTACGGGATCGGGAAAGTCACTTATACTTTACAGTCAAATAAGACACACACAACGAAATACGTTTCAACTCTCGTCTTAGTCGATCTTTTGGAGCACTCTATAAGACACAGCGCCCTGGGGAAAAGTCCCCAAGACTCTCACAAGGCTGAACCAAGACTCGCCCAAGACTGGACTGCCTCAAGGCTCGCCCCTGGACTGGACTCTCGACTGCCCAGGACTGCCCTCTCTCTCTCTACTGCGTCTGTCGTGGAGTATTCTTCAAGACCAACTCAAACTCTCTTTATTCATTTTCAAAACTCTAACCAATTACAAAACAGTAAAAAGACTCTAGGCCGTAACCTTCAATCATAAAGCCAATCACACTAAGTACGGAATACCGTCATATCTTTTGATTAATCGTTCACTACATTAATAACTATGGATACCAACTGTCAGAATGAGTAGTCTAAAAAGCGGCGGTTATCTGGTAATTAGTTCCAAATCACTGAGCCAAGTTCCGCCCAAAACTTCAAATAGACCTAAACGATGACGGACATAACACAGCAATTCGCTCGTAATCAACTAATTAAGTCGGTCAACAGATACGCAAAAACAAATTCATGACATGTCCATTACTGTGTAGTAGATACGAAGAAGACATTGAATATACCGAGGTTTGAATGAACTGGGAAATATTTAATAACCATTAAATTTTAAGATTTAATTTAATAAATTAAATAAATTTAATTTCTGTAAGCTTAATAAATTAACCAGAAAGCAATATAGGCATCCTTCAAAAGTGTTTTACGCTTCAACAAGCCTAATAAACATAACCTTACCACGCCAATTCATTGGAACGGCTGTAACAAGTAATAAAAAAATCACTATGAGGGCGCGCTATCTATAAATAATGTTGGTGACCCCAATTTGCACAAGCAACGCAATCCTCGTAGCAACAGGTTGCGACAGTGATGTTCCGATATTACAGGTTGTAGTGGTCGCAAGCGTAACATTTTTACACAAAGAAACGTACGTCATACACTACCATGGCTTTGGACATGTTTGAAATCCAATTAACTGTTAATCGTAGCTTAAATACCATCACCATAGCAACCACTGTAATTAAAATACGTCTCATGTCAACACAGGTGGGTTACATTTACTAGTATACTGAAATAATTCGGATGTTTTCAACAAGTAATATCGGCATGGCATCGCTTCACCGAGTAGTATTTAAGCTGTATAGTATTTTCAACTTCAAAGTTGTCATGACAGAGCTGGCGATGTACGAGTCTGAATCGTTCGACCGTATCACACCATTGTGGAAATTTAATTGACTTCATATTAATAAGCTCAAGGATCGTTGTGGTTATATAATATTCGAATACAAATCGGCATATTTGCTCACTGTCTAGCGATTATGCACCTCCTCTCCCTGGGCATGTCTCTCCACTCAGCATATCCATACACCCACTTCTGAACATGTATGAATGAAATGTACAATAACTGTCCCTTTCATCACTGTATGTGGGTTCAAAACGAGAACGTTTCTGTCAGTGTAACTGCAAATAACGCCATCGACGTCTGTATGATTCACAGCCAACGCCTCGTAGCGTGTTTGTTTGCATACCATAATAGTAAAATGACGTGCAAACAAACGTTTAATATACGGGTACATGTACTGGGTAGCGCCGTGTCAACCAAAAGTACTGTACATTTACGTCCGTAATGGTGTTGGTGGTGACTGCTGTATCAAATATCGGGATAAGAAAAGTAACAATCTAGGGTGAGTCAAATCACGGCTACTCAGAAAGAAATTCAAATCAGCTGTGGTGCAGTTCATAGCACGCAATTATAGATTTAGGCGTATTTGTAGAGAGGGGCATCCGAATTTCGACTTGAAAAACATGCATGACCTTAAAAGCGCGACGAAAATGTTATTCACGCCAAGATGATGGGGCGTACTCCCGATACGTGTGTTATTCAGGTATATGCTATGATATCAAACAAATATCTATTCTCTACTCCAGCTTGTTTTCAGAACGGTATAAACATGCATGCGGTTTGTCTCGATTTGTGCATATCTATGCCAATTTTACTTTGCAATGTATGGCATTATGGGGCGTACACGGCGCCAAGACCTTCGTGGTATGACGTAATGCGCTCTACAAATAGAAGTGAATTAATAACAATATTAAAATTACAATGTTGTATAGACAATCGACAAGCTGTGGTCTGAAAACGATCGCAGTCCCTTTATCGTGATAGAGGGACTGTGAAACGATTCATTTTGTTTTTACATCACGAAAAAATATATTAGTACTTGTTAAGCCAGGTGGTTCGCACTCTCAATTTTCAAACTCCGATGTCTCCGTACGTGAAGTGTTGTACAACTAAAAAAAAACGTTTTCTATTGCACGAGCGATGGCAATAAAAGCCGCCATATCGAAGCTCTGTCCTACTATCCCGAAATATATCAATAAATAAAGTAGCCGAGAAAGTGCGGGTGTGTATAAAAAGTGAGGTCACCTTTAAAACATGATAATAGTATCGCGTCGACAACTTTTATTTACTACGTACGACCACTGTTGTCTGATTCGTCTTCCATGGAATAAGCGCGATAGTTTGTTCTCACCAGGTATGTAACACTAAAACGATCTCGGTACGTATGCTGAACATGAACGTCACTAAATTCTCAGGCATCTTGTGTTCAATTTGTAATACATGTACCTCGATTGGGACATAGTTGATTGACAGGCAGATAATATCGGAGTTCAATCATATGTATTACATGTATATATTTTTTTTTCGGAAAGGAGCGATACAACTAATAAAATAGTACATTGTATTACATGTATTGGCTCGTACGTGACAAGTGTTTTAGCAATTAAAAAAAAAAATGTTTAGTTTTCCGCGCACTTAATCAGGTTATTCTTTCCGGCTGTGGATGTTATTTAATGGATTTTCGCTATGTACAACTCGTGAAAATTAATAAGGAACGCGCCATATTTGTCGTACCGCGTGGTGTTCGATATGTGTTTAATGCGACGTATACTAACGCTTGTAAATGCCTCGTTTTTTCACACGCTGCGCAACGACTGTGCCACCGCATTAAAACATTTTTTTTTCTTTTTTTTTAAAATAAAATTTGTAATTAATACGACATGATTCTCCTGTTCCTAGACTGATCGCGATTGCCCTGTTGACCCAATAGTCTGTAGCAGCTGCTTTGTCGACAAAGAGTGGATTTTAAAGGGTTTATACAATGGGCGTGGCACTGACGGAGTGAATGTACAATGTACTAGGTTTGGCAATGATAACAATTGTCACAGCCGTCGTCTACTTCATACCCGGGCGGGGGGGGGGTTCAATGCGTACAACAAATCGGTACTTATGTTCACGTGAAACTACTCACGTAGTGTGTAAGGGGTAGTTATTTAACATTTAAAGGGCGGTAGTCGTCCTGCCGCGCATGTGAGACATTTCTGTTGATAAACATAGGTTTTCCCACAATCCAATGCGCTTTTCTAATGAAATCAAATATACGACTTTTGCCCTGGTGGCCACTTGAACTAATTGCCGCTGGCAACATCTTCGATACCATCCAATCACTCCAAAAACACTTAATCAAAGCTTGGTGACTTCTCAGTTTGTATTCGTTGGTGTGCGCAACAGTCAAAATCGCCTTCTTTGTTTATATGAGACCCATATCTCACGCATGCGTGGCGCGGCGACCACCGCCCTTTAATAAAACTTACTTATAAATTTCAATCCCCATTTTCAAGGTTGGGTACCCAAATTTTAGAATGTCCCGCGGGTTTCATGGCAGAACCAATACTGCACAATCCCTCAGCACTGGAGGACTGTGTTTTAGCAAGCTGGGAAATTATCATAAGCGGAAAAATGACACGCGGCACAGTCGTTGCGTCGCACCGTGTCACAAGTAAAGTCGCGCTCTGCGCCACCTCTGTAGCGCGGTTCCAGTGATACGCTATGATCGGTGACATACGCTACTGGGGGGTAAATAACAATTTTCCGGTAAATTGATGAATACGGATAAATGTAAATACGATAGCATTTGATGTCGCCAAGTGTAATGACCAACTTGTCAAACTTTGAAGTAGCTCTGGGACAACTTCAGGTTGAATCTGCAATATACCATCTTTTTCATTAAGTTGTAAAGAGATGTCCGTGAATTACTTGCTAAAAACAGTATAATTTTATTTTCAATGATAAAACTGGAACCGTGAAATGCATCAAAAGAGAATGAATGAAGGTTTATATTGCCACTACGAGTAACAGGTCGTTGATAATCGAATTTATGAGAAGTCGTGAGTTCATGAATATATCAGGTGAATAATTAACTAGGGAGACGTGAGGAATTGGGCTTCGTTAAATAAGAAAAAAAAATCATTCAAGGTTTTGAAAGTCCAACAATAGTTAAAGAACAGTATTTGGATGAATGTTGTTTTCATGCACCCATCCTAATATATCTGAGTTGTCAATTCAGTGAGAACTAAGGATATGCGCGTATCCTTCAATGTGAGTGAGAGCGGGGTGGTTTGTCTACAAGGACAATGCGTCCTTCGTGAACGCCGGTCTTGTTGACCCGGTTATTATTATTTTTTTCATTTCAAAGACGAACGTTTCGTTCGCGTCTCGTACGTCAGAAGATTTTATTTACAAAATTGTACTATTTTAAATTTTAGCGAGTTTCTACGGTACCTCAGAGTTTAAGCATACTTGGACAGTTTGTATTTTGTAACAGTAACATTTGTCTCTCTCGCGTAACAGTGCACCATTTTTGATAATTAAAAAAAACACACTCAAATTGTTCGCAGCCTGAACTTTGCATGGGGGCAAGATCACCAACCTTGCACCGAAGGCGCGACCTTACTCGGGGATCCGGGGAATGCTCTCCCTTAAACATTTTCCCTGCATTTTTAGGGGCAAATTTTGCTGACACAAAGAGTTTCAACTTGATTTTGGAGGGGCGGACCGGAACGTCTGGGCGAAACGTTCGCGTCCATACCGAAACGTCCATCCTAGTATTTCTTGAAACGAGACTGGTAATCTATACACATTGTGTAATATGAACTTGCCATGCAAGTTTTGAGACAATGAGAATATGAAGCAAAAACACAGCAGCAGTGTGGACGTTGTCTTACATACCAGAAAAGCACTCTGTACGTATTTTTCTATTGCTGTGAAATGTTATTATAGTGGGTCCTTTGTCCCAGGGTACGTTACGGAGGCCGCAGACGATAACCATATCCCTTTGTCTATATTCGCAGCACATCAGATAGATGAAAACAACGTGGAAGTCAGGACAAAGCTGTCGCTCCGCGCCGTACAAACACACAGATTTTTTTACACGGGTGCGCCATGTTCGCTCATCGAACGAAGAACTCAACTGCTACTAAACTGGTGTCGCTTATGGTTGTCTGTGTGTGTTTAGTATGGCTGAAATACCGAATTACGAACGAAAAAACGGACCGGCAGCGATACAGCGAGGTACAGTTTAACATACAAACAGAAAGGTCAGTACATGATGCACCGAGAACAAAACAATGGGACTCCGTACTGAGGAGAAACTTTGATTAAATTTCGATTCAAAAGTGGATACAAGTATAGGTCCGGGGTGAATTTGCTAAGAATAACCATGTATATATTGGGGGAGGGGGGGTAAGAATAACAACTGTAATGTGTATACTCGACCACCGTCCCGGTGTCGAGGGACGGTGACTCGACCCATGTGTGGTTTTACGAAGCAGCTTCTACAAATTACTAGCTTCTACAAATTACATACTACTAATATACTCATGGTTTACCTCAGCTTAATCAAATATATATATGTTATATAGTTAGTCACACTAGCCACAAACATAGTGCCTCTATAGGCTATAGAGGGACTGTGCACAGTACAAGCAAATGTACTGTCAACGCAGACAAGCGTGTGTTTTTCGTTCCATGTGTTTTTCGTTACCCGATTTGCTTTTGTACTCGTGATAATAGCTTAGCTCGTGAGGGGAAACAAAGAAAGGGTCGTACTGATTCACACCGTTGTAGGCCACTCGTCCATTACATCATGCTATTGTTAAAATAACGACGATGGGTGGCCACATTAGCTAGATTATGACTGTTTTCGTCCAATACATTTCCGTAATAAATACCCAATCACTCGATATAGTTATTCATTAAAGTAAGTCTTCGCCCAAGGCCCCGTCGTTGAATTCAACCGAGCGATTCGGTGTACTGGTCATACATTTCTGATGTGATCTTTGACCAATACTATTTATCACCGAACATCATGAATGGGTAACATCCCCAGGGAAGAAAGAGTGAATGAAAAGGTCCATCGCAAATGTGACGTCAGACATCATGTACAACTGTATATGGCAACAGTTTAGTGGTAGCGCATCTGAACATTTCAACCATGGTGCCTTTTTAAAAAAACATTCTCGATCAAATGCATACCAGAATAAATTTCTAAATTAAATGTTACACTAAATAACAATCGATTATTCATTTCGCCAACTTTCTGGATGACCAACGAGGCATTTACCGGGGTGCATTTGTTTAGTTTGCCAATCGACCACGACCGACCCGGACCTAATCGTACACTTGTTTCTAGACTGGCACAGTCTTGACGATTTATTTCTTTTAAAGTTTAAATTAAATGAAAATATCGCAAAATGGAGGCATTAACGCGAAATCCCTGTAATCGCGAAATGAAACATTAGATTGTGGTGGTTTCGCGTTCACCCCAAATTTTGCAAAACTATTTTTTTCAAGTTTTTTTTTATATAATTATAATTTAACTAAAAGGTCAGTCTAACTTGTTTCTAAAACCAACAATTAGTATTGTAATTCAATGATGAATATTAATATAAAAGGCAATTGAAACAGTTTTCAATGGTGATAATCTTAGGACTGAAATAAACGTAAGTTTTTGACAAAAATTAAGCAATATTGTGTACCGTGACACTCTCGTGGATGGGAACTAAGGAAGACTCGTATGATCTCAGTAGCTCGGCAAAAGCGTCTTTATGAATGGCGATGATACGCGGACACGGAAATACATGCAGTTTGGTACGTCAAACAAAAAAGGACAGTCATCTACAAAGAAGGTTTCATCAGTAGGTAGTACTTAGTCATGCTCGACTAAAAATTCCAGTTTATAGCGCGTCCTTATAGTGCTTTAATTCAAACCTTACCAGAGATGAATCTCTAAAAGCACAGTCGTGATTGAACAAGGTGGAAAAATTCTCTTCTGCAATATATTTTTGTCAGTCTATTTGGTCACTATGCGCCGGAGAAGAAGTTGAAATTGATTTTTATTTTATTTTGACCGGCACATTCTACCACGAATTGCGAATTATATATCTACCTATTAATTATGACCCTTGACCCTAAAGGGACTATGTCTATAGATTTGTTCATTTCTCTAAATCAAGATATCATACGACGCCTTTTATGCGATTTATTGTAATTTTTGTTTTATTTTATTTACAATTGTATTTCGGTTAAAGTGGAAGGGTAGTCACCTGCGCACGCACGGGAATTGAGTCCCAAGCAATGATAACACATGCTAAGAACGCAAAGGCTCATGGGTGGAAGCTTGTTTGTAAACAATGACACGCTATGACCACCTGACGCATGCGTAAGCGACAACTCCCCTGCTTTAAGGGCCGATTGTCTACATGCCATTCTGTAAATAAAGATCAACGATGAAACAAATGAAATCCCGTATTTCCATATAAACTTCACATAAACGTCACAATGAACAAATAGAGCAACATGTCATCCTACGATCTTCCAAACCCGGTAAAAAAAGAAAATTGTACAAGCGTCGAAACCGATGAGTATTTTATGTTTTTGGTTTGGATTGGTGGTGACTACAAATATTCTTTGCTGTAGATTCGTCTATTTTATGCTATTTTCTTGTGCTGATAGTATTTATACTATTTTTTTAGACATCTCTTCGCTGCCAGACTTCCTGCAAGATGGAATGATGAAACAGAAGTGACACGTGACCAGAATAAACCAATGAACAACAACATAGATAAACAAAACCAGCAGAACATACCAACAGAAAGAAAACCACTGCCAAAGTATAGCCAACACTCTAAAGTTTCTGGAAACACAGAAAAGACCATCGACAAGTCAAACTCTGAAAGCCTGGAACGAGGTTACGAGAAATTAAAGAAAATTGCCACATATTCCGACCAAGGGTACGGTAAACTTCAGAAACCAAATCATACACAGACACACAACCCTGCTCCCAATATGTTCTTCACTGAGAAGATAGAGAAACATTTCCCTTGGATCGTCCGTTCGCACTATTTACCAAACTTTTTCACAAAACGTGAAATTTCTGCTCGTAGTCCAAGTACGTCGTATCAAAATGCAACCATGGTTTTCGTACACAACCAGAAATCAGGCGGAAGTACTCTGAAGGTATGCATGGAAAATATTGGCGCGGAGCAACATTACCCCGGAATGTCTGTAGTGTGCGACATGAACGCAGGTGACTACTATACAGGCATGGCGAATAGCGGGAAACGTCCATTGCAGAAGTTCTTCGCGGGGGGCCATACTTTTAAAATATGTGACTTTGCGGAAAACCCTTGCACCTACGTCACCGTGTTACGTCATCCACTTGACCGCATCATATCGTCATACGAGTACTGTAAAAAGCGTAATGAACTTCACTGCCAAATTATTGACGCCAACAATGTGACGCTGAACCAATGGGCGATATTCCAGGGAAGTTTTTTCTTTCGACAATTGTTTTATAATTTCGAAGTTTGTACACAGAAATACGACGACATTATTGACAAGCTGCGCATGCGCAAAGGGATGTCCCTAACACCTAATAAAATACCATGTTGGTATAGAAACGAATTGGTTCTGGAAGCCATGTTAAGTAAAATAGATAAACTGAATATTTTGCAATACGTTTTAGATAATTTGGAAAACTGGTTTGCCGTCATCGGCATCAATGAGGAATACAACACTTTTCTGCAGCTATTGGAGGATGCGTTTCGTCTGCCATTTTCCCGTTGCCAGGGAAACATCGTCAATTACCATCAGTATTTGGCGGAGACGCGTGGTATTAAGAGAAACGACGTAATTGCATCCTTTCGACAACAACTTCGTGATGACCCAGCAGTAACAGAAGCACTGTTTTACGATTTGAAAATTTACGAGAAAGCGAAGGACATTTTTAACAGACAAAGCCACATCTTCAAAGCGAGGCAAGGAACCCCCGGACCCATTAATGATACTCTCCATTTTTAAAGACAAAAAACAAACAAACTATTTTTCTATATGTTTGTAATACATTAGACAGAAATTAGCAATGGAAATCATCTGTTTGTAACCATTTTCGAGCAAGGCTTCGGTCGAACGTATTCTTTTTTTTCAATTGAAAAGTTTAACTTTGACCCAGACTGCGCATGACGCAATGTATGACGGTCTTTGTCATATTATAGGGCCCGTGGTCCGACAAATATTGAATATTATATTTTTGTGATAATCTATGAAATGCAGATACATTTTAATTATAGAATTATGTTTTAATAATTCATTTTGCAATAATATTTATATTCTCACATTCTGTGAATGTGCACATTTCAATTCTCCTTCGGTAAAGAGGGTGCAATAATAATAAAATAATAATAATATAAATTTTATTTATATTAAAAACATTTAATACCCAAATACGTGTTTATTATTAGTTTCCCAACACACTAAGTGCAGTCACTCAAAGAACGGTGGTCGCGTCGTATGCGACATGAGTCCTATGCAACGTAAATACATTGTTTTCACACAAAATTCCGTGGGTTTGCGTTAGAACACACACACAGCTATCTCGGACTATTATGATTATTCGTGCTATCATAAGTACCCCCAGATTCGCATGCTAGGGAGTTTGTGTACGTGTACATTCATCAGTACAAAAGACAAAATTAGATATATGGTGATCAGTCACTGTCACTTCTAAGATGTCAGACTTTTGTTAAGTTACTGTGTCGATCGGCGCTCAAATTACATCAATTAGAGCGGAGGTCGTCGCGCAGCGCGTGTTCGAATTTCATGTAACCAAACAACGTATTTTACACGCGTTGTGTACATCGTTATGGGTCCCATATCGAACAGGACGCGGCATGTCGACTACCGCCCTTTAAAGCGCGGAGGTCGTCGCGCAGCGCGTGTTCGAATTTCATGTAAATGACAATGTATTTTACACGCGTTGTATACGTCGCTACGAGTCCCACATCGAACAGGGCGCAGCACGGCCACCCTTTAATCAAACTCTAATTTAGATAAATATGAGAAAAAATGCACCTTGACTTATGCTAATGGCTTTGCTGAAAAAGTACAAACACTACAAGGACAGTCACCGTTCGGCAGGTGACGAGTGTAAAACCTTCCTGGGGATTCGAAACACAAAGCGTGGTAGTCTAGTAGTCTGCCTCAGGCTTAATGACGAAGCTAATGACCGAGATTGATTTTTGGGGAACCTTGGTTACAAAGTTAAGATCCACAGGTGGTTGTTAGTGACCAGAATGATAATATACACATTGTACAGTACTAGTATATGATGAAGATTATTTCGTACCCAACAGTGAAAAGCGAGTACAACACCCCCTGTGGCTGAATGTCGTTTTCACCATCCTAAATCCTAAGCCGATACCGAGGGCGGTGGCACTTTTCCCATGAAAGCTCCCTCCTTTTCTCCGAGATATAACAATTACCCACACTTAATTCGAAGTGTTTCTAGTAACGACGATTCTCAACAACTGAGGTCTATAATTCACATCATGACTGGAATGCGTAGGATATTAGTCATTCGATTGACGAATAACAAGCAATCAAAGGACCAACATAGTTTCATTTGCTTTGATGTCGAGGGAGTCAGTGAAGGTACAGCTGTAATACTTCTCGTATGACTCACACAACTCCGCCCGAGTCGGTTTGGAAGTCACGATGTTAGCTCTGGAATTTTTGAAACGTGTAAACACAATCGACAACTTGAGTACATGGCACGTATTCAAAATATACGGCAGTGATTGATCGATTAAAAAATGAAATAGTTATGAACATTCCAGTGTAGTTTCATGAATCCGTGCATAAAATAAATTTCACCTCATTTCAGTTTTGAAATATGTGGGTGTCTTCAATTATGACCTCAGAGGGTTGGAAAAACAAATGTACACAGGAACTTGAAAAATCAGACTAAATTTACAGTGACAGAAAAAATATTTATAACAAAAAACAAAACGAAACACGCATATTAAAGAACGAAGAACACACACAATTGTACATCAACCTGGAGAAAAAAGCTAATTTAAAAGCGATAAACAAAATAATATGCACAGTTGTTCTACCATATTCCCCCAAAGTTTCTAATGGCCATCCCTAATTATCGCTGCACACAATTATCCATCATTGTTTGGAACGTGTGTTCGTCGAATATTTCCATGAACAAGCGTGTGACGTCATGCCAGAGAATTGGTGTTGAACGAGAGTATGTTTTTCCTTTGGAAAAGAACATAAATCCAATCAAATCAAATCCGTTGCCAATTGGCCGTCAATACTCCCACAGTCTCCTATATCTATTACAGTGCTGTTGCATGCGTTTAAATACGTGTTCTGGATGCCATGACTAAGGATGGGGCGCGGCTAACTATAGCAATAATACGAAACACTACAAATGCTTGTTTTTTTTCTCCAGGGTTTTAATATCAGCTACTGGGGAAGTAAACTTCAAGGTTTTGGGAAATGCATGTGCCAAAAGTATGTCAGTCCCGTCCATCGGCATTTGGGTTAATTTCTTACACATGACATCACAAGCATTCGATTGTAATCACACCTTGCCCCGCGGGGCACTTTTACCTAAATGTTGATCTAACATTTAATACTCAATTTGCCCCCAAACCTGAACGCTTCCGATGCATTGTGGGATCGCGAACATGATACTGGCAATGAAAAATTAAATTATAGGACGTTTGAATGGACAAACACGCTTCGCTACAACGACTCGATAAGTTCAATTACATAGTTTTTTTTTTTTTTCAAATATAATGAAGTCGTTGTTAAACTGCACAATTGGTTATGGTGGTACCACTCAATTTGGAAGTGGTGTGTTATTGCATAGACTACCCGGGATAGACTGGCACACCGATGCTCAAGTGTCAAGCTTTCGAAAACAATGTCAACGTCCACTTTTGTCCGATCTTTGTTAACTATATCATATTCGACGGGAACAAACATGGCAGTGACAGGTATGATGCCGGTGTTGACTGTCGAAGCCTTTTACTCTCTCTCGCATCATCAGTCAACCGTCACTGTAACAGGACCTACAAACCTTGACATGGTAGGTCTGGTGGAACCAGTCCAAAATATGACTAGTCGTTCGACTAACAAATAGCCATTGTCAAGCAATGATGAGCAGTACCGGCGTTAATTTAGTTTTGTCCATTGTGTATAAAATGTATGTATCTGCGCCCATCTCCTGTGGGAAACAACCAATTAAGTCTTTAAATTGATTAATAATAATTTATGTATCCATACATTTTGTAATCCTTTTGTCGGTAACCTTAGTGACGGTACCACTATTCATCTTCATCATCAGAATGCCTGTGATAACTACATACTAACCGTCAATACCGTGACCTTTTGTGATGGGATACATTATATGTCGAGGAATTTCGCTTCGAGGTAAAAAAAAAAATACTATTTACATTCCAGTCACCCGATTAAACCGTCTCGAATGATTAGGCTATGTCTTGTATTACCCGCGATGCCGTGTACCTGAACCATTGTGTGTATTGCTTCCAGTTTCGGTGGATTCTAATCGTGTAGACGTATACAAGAAATATGGAATACGATGGCATACGTGTACACGTATTATAGAAATCACACGCGTCATCTGTTTTGTTGGAATGAATAAACTGAAAATAATAAACACTAATTAAGTACATTAAGATTTCCACATGGTGTACCTCAAATTTATAAATATCTACGAATAATATTAATTTCAAATAATATTAATTTCAATTGATTCCAACTAATAATAATATGAATGTTTATATGAATATTAGCTATGTAAAACCATAGACCCTCCAGTAGAGAGTCTATGGTAAAACCAATGATGGCACCGTGACGCAAATAAACAATTACGCTGAAAAGATTGTCGGCCGACGTTGTCGTTTAACTTGGACCATGGAACTGTGGTTTATAGTTCCATGCTTTGATGTACACTACATTTTCGTGGAAAGAACAACATGTAGTTTGTTAAAGTTGTATTTCCATGACAACCAATTTGCTAGGGTACATATACAACGTATCTGGCACACATCCTACTTTCATGACCTACATGCACGTCATGCAGTCGAAGTGGTCACAAAGCCGAGTATATATTTGTGTATAGTAATTTACTACCATCTGACCTATTTAGAATGGACACGTCCAAACCCGGTGTTTGTTTTTCTATTGTGAACCGCATTCAAAGACACTCAATGGAGTATTAAAATCACAATACCGAGCCGGGAGGAGAACACATGTCTGAAAAGCTTGTACACATTCCAGTATTCTGGCAGGTTAACACAGTTGATTTTTTTTCAAGTTTACCTTGTAGTGTGGTGCTTATATTTTAACTAACTTTTGGGATCCGGATTCCGATTTGCCTGGGGCACGAAAGGGCGTATCACCGGCGTTTGTGGGCTTGACTGCGCATGCTTTCATTACCTTTTCGAATACATACATTGTACGTCCATGATATATATATACCACTTCCGGCACTCGAAAAGGTCGATACAAGAAGAAGTAGACAACACATTATCCTGAGTTTTCGAAAGTTACGTGTTTCCATGCAGTATGACGACCGCGCTCAACGGCAACGAATTTCAATATTTCGTCCGGGGGTTTCGTTTGGGAACCATGGAAACAAAATAGTGTCATGCCTCGCACAGTCACCTGGCAATAGACCGTGTAGTATAGCATCGTATGTTGCAGAATTTAGTTCCAACCTATTTAAACAACCATGTAACTTTGAGCGTTATGAATAGATTAGTAAAATGATAAATATGTAAATAAAATAATAATAACCAATAACCAAGCAGCATGGTTCAGTCACAATTGAATAAACGATAAACCTTATTAGTCTACTTGGTATTCAACTTATCGACGCATGCGTCATTCAAGCGTTGTTGAGAAACAGAAAAGTTCAAGACAGGGAGTGTACATGCTTACGTATCTACCAAGGCGTCGTCTTTTATATAGTACTGTAAGTTACAGGTAGGTCATTTCAGCCGAGGAGGCGAGTCGTATGTGTGTTTATCAGGACGCAAGTGGAAGTCGATAATCACTTCTATCGGTGTAGAAGACGCTGAAACATCCGCCCGTTGACGTTACGTCAAGGTACACTGTGTGTTGTATTCTGGCATTGAAGGAAAGACAGTACATAGAACAATCAATTGAGTGAATAACAGACAATCGGGGTCGCTAGACACGAATACTGCTGTCCTCGGGTTTGCTAAGCCCGTAGTCCTGACAGCACGTCGATCACACTGGGATAATTGAACCACACACCAAATAGCTGACACCGTCACCTCTGTTGATTCGGATCGCGTGTACGAGTTCTTGACCAATTATACGATTACTTTCCAAACGCTAATGTTATCTATTCTTAGCTCAATCTTAGCTTAAACCGTGACAGCAGCACTGGTCGTGTTCGGACTATGCCAGTACTTTTCAGCCGTCGTGATTTTTTTTAAAGATTGCCCCGTACATAATATTTTTTTTCCATAAATGCAAATGCCGTGACTGCCTACTAGTGGTTTGGTTAACTGCTCTAATCGCGTGAATATTCACTTTGGAGATATTGTTTTTGGTGCTCCATGTATTCCCTGATACCTAACGCAAACAGTCCCCTGCGTTTATTCATTCGGACTTTACAGTTATCATTAAAAGCGGCGTTTTAAACGGATGTGATGATTTTTGCTTCCTCAAAAAAAAAAAAAAAAAAAGAAAAAAAAAAATCACCCTAGAGATACTATTATTTGCTCAACCCGAGAAATATTCCTGCCACTTACACTAATCGCGACAATACCAAGTTTTGATTCATAGTTGTTGGTATCGTTGTATTCCCTGATACCCCATGCGTTCATTCTCCAGTCCTGTTTAAATATTCCCACAGTGAAGCGCCGTTCTGACAGTGACATTTACCACTCGTATATGACTGTCTGCTTTCAACGATATGCGTACGTGGACGTGAATTGATTCGAACAGCTGATTATGAACGTGTCATCTATGTTTTTTTACGCACAGTTGTACATTGTTTTGAGCTTTCTACTCAGTCCATCTCGGAATAAATTCTAAAATACAGTATCGGCTATAAAATGTAAACATTAGGCACGAGCTTTACTCCTTAGGAGGAAGACTATGTTTGTTAGTGCGATTTGCAACAATAATTCATTCTACTAATGTTTAATACATGAAATTGTGTTTTTTCAACTAGTGTCTCTTAACAATGGCGGTAACGAGAAATACCATTTCACGGCGCCATTTCAATTCAGTATTTTAAATTTTTCACATAAACAAAACTAGTCGGCAAATCGACATTTCAGTGTGCGACGTTCGTACGTGTATGTGATAGAGGAGACTGTCAGTGCGGCATGAAATTGTTGGTCGTCCCTGTATATCTGTTCACTCATCCACTAACAGGATGTTACGGGCCCAACATTAAAAAGAATCAAAACAGTGTTGTAAATAGTATCGTCTGGTATTCCGATAAAACTGTACGTGTCGTAATGCGATATACGCTATGCACAGGAGATTTGTCTATTTAGCTAGACAAACTTGAACCTTTTCCAAGTATCACAGTATTTCTGACACTCACACGTGTAATTACATACTATTTTAAAGGGCGGTGGTCGTCGCACCGCGGCCTGTTCGATATGGGACTCTTATCGACATGTGCAACTCGTTAGAAATACATTGTTTATATGTCTGAAAAGGGGTATCCTTTTTTCATTATTTCTCTCTGAAAAGGGGTCCATATTTTCCAAAGACTGTCTCTAGAGATTGAGTGATCCAACAATCAGGAGAATGAAGCTGATTTTTTCTTTCTGTAAATTCAATTCGATCATCAAAGTCCATCCCCGATGGTACTATTTATGCTTATTGTCTGGAACAGGGTAGACAATACGAGTTTAATTCTGTCTGAAAAGGGTTAGGGGTTTTAAACAACCAGCTACACACACCCGTCAGTATTTTTTGCAAGTAACCTGGGTCGGCACGCCGCGTTCTGTTCGATATGGGACTCATAGCGACGTATACAACGCGTGTAAAATACATTGTTTATTTACATGAAATTCGAACACGCGCTGCGCGACGACTGCCGTCCTTTAAAGGTTATAACATATCATATCCCAAAGAGAATGCAATGCGTGACAATAAATGCGTTAGCTCTCATGTCCGACTATAGAGAATATACCCTATATAACACCTCCAAGTACGAGTTACTGACAACATGGGCTTTAAGAATAAATAGCTCCGTGCTGACTTTTATTCAGACCCACCATGGTCTATACCACATCTCATTTAAATATGTGAATTGCTTCGGTACTGCCGTTCGCGTTTTATTCACTACAAGATGCAATCATACAAACACTGAATGGGCTCCTTTTGTATTCTGAGTCCAATGTCTTCTACTGAGAATTATTGTCCGACTCCGAATGACTTTGTGTTAGAGACAGGGGTACCCGAAAAGAAAACCTCTTTCAATTTCCGAAATACACACACTTCAGGCAACCCAATAAACAGAGTACAAGTCGCACTCTAACCAGAGTACATGAAAAAAGATCTTCCACTCAATCAACACTCCGATCGTGGGACATTCAATCCCAAGCGAAGATGTTTATCCGTCATAACACGACACCCACGTCGCAACTTTGCAAACTGGTCATTAAAAGACGTTTGCACAAAACTTGTTTTTACAATTATAATATACATAACACATTTTGTTTGCACTGCAACTATATATAATATATTCAGACGCACCTTTTCGACCCAGGTGCACGAGGTTGAGTATTAGGGTGAGGAACAGAGGTTCTATGATATTTAGTGTACACAAATTACCACTACCTTTGAAGAAATTTGATAAAGAGCACAATTGTTGTCATGACAACAACCCTGATACTGATACTCGCATATCCCGTGAGCGAGTGGCGAATAAAGGTTTCGTCATAAATGGCATG